CCGAGCCAAGGGCTAACCCACCACACCTACTAAAAGGTGTGGCAATACTGTGAAGTGCTGTGGGTCATGTAGTATGGAGACCCTGTTTCCTAGGAAGGATGAGGATTCCTACCTCTAATCCATTCAGCTAATTCTGGGGTCTACTTTCTTAAGTGTAAGTGTCGCAGGAAAGAAGAACAGTTCTGAAATCACAGACTGTGGGATCAGCTGAGTGGCAATCCAGTGAGGAGTGCGCACTGCCCCTGCACCCTTTTTTTTCTTTTTCTCTCTTTACCATGGAAAGCAGCACAAGTTGGCATTGTTAATGCAGCCAAGATTGGTGCTATGATCTGCAGAAGGTGGGGCATTTTGAGACTCTTCTGCAGATGTGATTAGGCCCTAAGTTCTAGAATTTGGTGGTATTCACGGCGTGTGATTTTTGGACCCCAGCTCTGTATTTTCTTATGCAGTTTACTTTTGTAATATAAATCTGTCTAGTATTGCTTAAGAGTGGCATTTTTGGTCATATCTTGACAATATACCTAATTATTTATTTGAGGTGTTTATTTTCTTGAACTTCTCTGTTTTTTCTTAGACTATATGCTCTGTGTAACTATGCCTTTTTGTGTTTGTACCAGTGTAACGTGGTTATGTGTATTGTAGTTATACTACAGTTATACTGCAGTTGAGGGTCTTTATCTTTACTCTGCATTTTGTGGGCAGGTATTTCTATTCGTGTCTTGCTGCAGATATTCTCCCTCTAGCATAGTGAGCTGCTCAGATTGCTTTGATGTTTTTCGTACATGCTGTAACTGTATAATCATCGTAAATTAACTGCTTTTAATAACTGGTAAGAACTGTTGATGTGTCAGAAGAAAAAAGAAAAATATTGTCAGAGACTTACTATGCTTTCTATTAGAGATCTTTTAGGAAAATTTGGAACCTGCATCAAGGATTAATTTCTTAAATTGATTTCTGAACTGGTAGATGCAAGACTTATCTGCTTTTCTTATAACACTTATGCTTAAACTAAGTAATAAATAACTATTTATTTTAATTTCAGTCAAACTCAGAGAAGTCCCCATGTGTTTTACCGACATGACTTAATCAATCAGCTTCAGCACAATCATGCCCTTGTTACATTGGTTGCAGAAAATCTCTCTGCCTATATGGAGAGTATGAGGCAGTATGCTAAAGGTAAGTTTTAAAATAATTTTCGAGTATCTGTGGGGTTGATCGCCTTTGTGGTGTCAGATTGGGCAAGAAAAGTTTAAAATGTGGACATTTTGTTTCATAATTGAAAATGTGGTGTGTTTTACAGCAGAATGTGGGGAACAGGCAGCTGTTGTTTATCTGGGATTGATAAACACCCTACTTAGGCTAGTGTGCTGATGATCTTGGATTTTGTCCCACTTCTAGTTTTGAATTTTTGTAGGCTCCTTTGAGAAATTTTTTAAATCACCTCTGTTTGAAACCAGTGTTTGGACTTTGTCAAGGACAAGGACTTTACACCACAAGGGATACCATTTCTTTTTACCGTGCAACTCATTGTTTCATTTGTTTAGTTGCTGTCTTGCTACATTTGTTACCAGCAACAATTTGGCAGCACATCATGTTAGTATATACATGTTTCAGGCTAAATTAAACCCTTCACTGATGAATTTACACTCTTACTCTGGATTAGTTTTCTAGCTACTGAGGTAGAAGTAGGGATTTGACGGAGAATGATGGATGAGGAAACTACTTGTTACATTGGACCACAGTACTTGGTATGTAGAATTAAACCAACAGAAGTGAGAGGAGGAGATTTATGCCCACTCCCCGCCACCTCTTCTACTGACTGGAACAAAGGGCCATGCTGCCCTGACATCATAACATCCTACCAGCCTTTCAGTTACATCTCAAAAATGGCACAGTATGTTAGGTAGGAATTCAATATAGATTGTTCAGAGAGGACAGGATATTTGCACATTGTAAAGTGTGTGTGTGTCTTTCAATGCTTAGGTAAGATGTCTAGACACCTTTAATTTTAAAATTCAATTAATTTTGGAGTACTTGATAAAAGATATCAAAAAATAGGTCCTTGAAGATTTGTTTCAATAGTGGTGCTATATGAACATGATTGCTTCAGCCAGGTATAAGTCAATGAGAATGACATTTAAGCTAAATCTGCATACTGAGGGGGTTTACCCTAGTTTAAGTTCCTTAGTTAATGACAGCACTGCACTAACTAGTGTTAAAATAATAGTAAATGCTTTGTTCTGTTCTACAGACAAGCTGTCTTAGGCTAAGTCTTGGAACAGAGCATGTATTATTTCATGTAACTTCTATAAGCTCTTGGGGTGTTCTTTAACTTTGCTAAAGTGATGCAAAAATGCAATTTCATTTGTAACGGACTTTACATCTTAACTGTATGGATAGCGTAGAGTCTCTGATTCTATTATTCTCTGTCTCCCTTGGACCTTGGCCAGCTATGGAATATGGGGTTTGGCCTCAGTCTTAGGAAGGAAATGTAATCAGCAACTGTATTCTAATACAGGGTTGTCTTTGTCCAAAAATAGCCTGCACCTACTATTAATGTAAGAACTATTATTCATTAATTTCAGTTCTTTTTGAACTCTGAAGCCAAAAGGTCATTTTTGACAATATTGTTTACCTATCCAATTGTTGATGACTTTAGCAGAAGAATTAGGCTGATATCTTTCATGATTCTTTTCTTCTGCCAAAAAACATATCCCATTGCCCTGCCCCTCCCCAACTATAAATACTTGGTAAAGCAGTAATATAAACGTCTTCAGCATGATAGGAATTGCATGTGTGCAAAAGTTTAAATTTAATCTAATTCCCTAGCAGTTAGGTTGTGCTTTCTTGAGACAAAGCTGCTGCAAAACTTCTACTTGTTTGCATCAGAGTACAAAGCCCCATGAACAATAGTGCATTTTTTTTTGTTAGATGTGTTATTACATTATTAAGGGCGGCCAGAAAATACCTCCTAATGTTCCAGATACTGCACTAAGACTGTAATACACAGTTCCTGTGCAACTTCTGTTTCAGTTTCAGTTTTATATAGTGAATAAGAGTGGCACGTAGAGCACCATGAAGTTTGCCTTCCATGCCTTCCTGGAGGAGGAGAAAAGATGCTGGGGAGGAGGGGGCAGGGCAGGGAGGGGAACAAATGAAAGAAGAATGAAGATTATGATTGTGAGGACAGAGAAGTAACTGGACAGCTGTAGAATTAAGCTGAGCGAGATGGAGGAAGAAAATTCAAGGCAAGCATCCAAACAGCGCAACTCAAACAAATGCTATAGAAAAAAAATCCAATTGCCCTCAGATCTTTTTGACAGTTAACACCACAATTCTTGTGTAATTTGTGGGGGTCTTTGGGTATTAATTTTGAATTTGCCATCTTTTTATTTTCCTTGAAGAATCCCATGGTTGTGTTCTGTGAAGTAGAACAGTGTTCTTATTCTCCTGTTACTCACTAACGCATATTATTTTCTATCGTATTCCCTTTTTAAATGTTCGCCTTTTTAAGGTTAAGGAAAAGCCAAATCCGTGTTTCAGAATTTTTTCCATGGTCTGTGACTCTCTTTTCTACCGAACTCACCCTTTCTTCCAACTCTGCAAACTCCTTCATGAGATGAGACAACTATTATTGCATTGTGTAGTCCTGAAGAAGCAGGTCACATTTTAATATTTTTTTTATTTTATCAAAGACCTTTTGAAAATCTGAAAAGATTGCTAACAAGTTCCCCTTTATCTTCAGTTTTTCTGAAGTAGTAAAAAAAATCCAAAGTGTTAATGAAATGTAATTATTTATAGAAATTGTGCCATATGATCTTCTATGTGTGTTTATCACTAATTATGCTTGCATTTTCAGACAGTCAATTTTTTGGTCTATAATTTCTCTGTTCATTCTTCTGCTCTTCTTCTTTCAAGAATTTTTAAAGAGATCACACTTGGACTTGCTGTGGGATGCACAGTGTAAAAAATAAATTTGGAAGATGTAGAAGGAAGCTGAGATGGAGAATATTTAGGGAGACTTTTTTTTTTTTTGCAGTTCAGAGTTTTTGCAGAGTTCTTAAGTACATACATGTTGCCTTTGGGCAACTGACTGGCTTTTAGTACTTGAATTTCTTCTGTCATTGCCACTATTGACACTTGTGTCTGTTAATTAATCTCCACTCAGGGGGAAAAAAGGCCATATAGTCCCCATAGTTAACACAAACTAACACCACCACCTTGCCCCCCAACAAAACAAAATCAAACAAAAAAAACCACTCAAAACACTCAACACTTGAAGTAATTAGTTTTAATCTCTCTGCGATATGCTTATTGACCGTAAATGTTACTTCTGCTAGACCCACTGCATATTTTTCAGGTTTTCTACTCGTAATACTTAAATAATTTTTGTTCTGCTGCTTTTATGTTCTGTCTTCAGGGTTTTTTTTCACATTTCTTCTTTTCATAATTGCCCATTTATGCTCACTTCATTAGAATTATAATTTAAATTTTTTGAAGGATTTCTGGTGAATGTGTGTCCAGCTTTGTAGATGTCAGTTAGCTACTAGCCTTCTGTTCTCCCTTTTGTTTGATTTTTAAGCTAATGTACCTTTTGCACTTGTATATAGAGAGCAGTATTTATGACAATTATTTTTCTCCTGATTTTGAAACCCTTATGATGCACTACAGCTGTTAGACTTGTGTGGTGTTGTTGGGCTTTTTTTTTTTTTTTTGTCCCCTCCTTAATGTAATAGAAGATACTGATTTTCATATCTGAAGGTAAAATTTACTATGAGTCTGGATGTTGTCGTGATACAGTCTCCCACAGCTGGGTCATCTTAATTAAATGCAGTCTGTATACCTTTGCAAATAAGAAAGGTAGCATTAATTAATTTATAATGGAGCTGTCATAATGAACATAATGAACAAATATTACTAGTACAGATTAAGGTAGCACAAGTACAGATCTAGATTGTATCTCTTTAATTTAAAACAAACAAACAAAACCTCACCAAACAAAACCACACCAAAACCAAGTTCCTATGAAGCAAACAGCTGTTTGTTAAACAGAATATTACTCTGAGATTTTATGAAACACAGGTAAAAGTTTGACTTCTTGCCTTACTTTCAAATTATTCAGTATCTTTGTTTCAAGCTTGTCGGCATTACAAGCATTTGGTTTTTGTGCTTGGAAGCTTGCAGTGAGTAAAGTTATATACTTCCTTCGTCTAACTGATGTCATGTATGTAGCTACGTATAAAGGTGTTAAAAAACTGAAGTCGTGATTTCCTCTGCAGAGGAAAAACCCTAAAAATGGAAAACTGAAATTTTGGAAAAGATGCTCTGTAGTGAAACTAAAGTATCCTCAGAAAAAACACTGGATAATCTGAATTATGTGTTTGGTATACTTTTATTTTAACTGACTTCTGACTTCAAACTGACTACTTGGAATAAGGAAGAATTTATTTGAATAAGTAGAATACAGGTTCTTAGTTGTTCTATAATACTTTCATTTTACTGAATGATGAGTTGTTCTATAATACTTTCATTTTACTGAATGATGAGCAGATATATCTGCACGTAAGTGTTTGTTCATTAGGTACAGACCTCAGTAATCTTTGCCTGTACCCATTTTAATTTAGGATGAAATATTAACTGGTAGCAGGCTGCTGAAAATAATTTTCATACCTCTTACTGAAAATTTATTGGAGTTTCAGTGGTTTCAATTATATTCAGAAGAATTGTATTAAGACCAGTAAGTCTTAAAACATGTCCTCTCTTTTAGAGTCAGCATGTCTTTTCTGAATGTATTGTCTAATAAAGCTTTTTATACCTGCAGAGCATGGTGAATATGATCCTCAGACTGTAAGACCAGGAAGCAGATACAGTCATGTGCAGGAAGTACAGGAGCGACTTAACTTCTTACGGTTAGTTTTAACTTGATCATTTGTTTAAATTCTGTAAGAATACTTTAAATACACCTTGGTATCTCTTATCTAGCTTCAAGTTGCTGTGTTAACTTCTTTCAGAATTCAGATGCAAATACACACCAAATGTTTTTGTTTTGTTTTGGTTTGGTTTGGTTTTTCTCCTGGAGAGTCTCTATGCTAGTAGTGGAATATTCAAATAAAGTTTATTAGGATCTTTGCAATCCAAGGCTCTGATTCTGCACTAAGATTTGTATGGGCTTTTTCTGTCTATGCGCAGAACTGTACAGACTTGAATACAATGTGCATATGGATACAGTTACATATATATTGGGGTAACTTAGCTGAAAATTTAAAATATTCCACGTAGGGATATGCCCATGTGTCCTTATTTGTTGTGCCACACCAGATTTAAGTCCGTGATCATAAACTGACATATACTTGTGTCAGACACTAGTGTTAGGTTGTCAGCAGCTGAGCCTTACAAAGAGGTTGGAATAAAACCATTACTCGGATTACTTTTGACCAGCTGCTGTTTGAGTAAAAGAAAAAAAAGGATTGCTGCTCATCAGAGAGCTGCACTATGTTGATGCTTTTTATGTTATGTCTCTCTCAGCTTTTTCTTACTTGGTTTTAAGCTTTGTTTTTAGATGAGTGAACATACATGAACTGTCAAACTGTCAAGTTCTGAAGTATTTTTTTACTTGTTTTCTAAGGGAGAATTTTTTAATTTTTAAAATGTTACCAAGAATTTTTATAAATTAAACTGAAGTGTTAAACAAATGTTTAATTTAATTATACAATAGCATATGGGTAGCACACTTTTTTTAACGTGCAGGAGTGATAAATTTTGTAACCTCCTTAAATTTAAGTTCGCTAGTTGTTAATGTGTAGGAATTTATGAAATCCTGTGGCTGTCAAATGTAAAATATGTAGGTATCAATTTCTGAAAAGCAGTGCCATAACTTAGTCCCTGATTTCTTTTACATAGAAAAGATTTTAAATCAGAAAATTTTTTCAGAAGAACTTTATCTAATCTGTTCTTCCTGAAGCATTCTTAGTGTTAGCTCTCAGAATGGACATTCTTAATAATTCTTTAATAATAATTTAACACAAATGAAAAAGTTATTTAAATAAAAGGAAACATTTCCCATTCATTGAGTTCTGCTTCTGGCTTTGTTCCATAGAATTGTGTCAAGTTATTTTGTGATTTTGATAAAGTGAGCGCTAAAACATAATGAATGATTGCAGAAGTAATTTAATCTCTTATGTTGTGATCTGACTTTTAAACTAAGTAGTTTACATCAGGAGATGTGCATTGGTTTGTATACAATATGTAAACAATGCTTAGTGTTTTTGTGTAAAATGGAATTTTAGTCCTTTTTTGTTGGGACTAGGGGGTCTTGATCCGTTCAGACTTACGGAGAAATCATGGGGATAATTATGAGTGGACTGATGTAAATAAAGTTCTCAGCGTCATACTTATGTTACATATTTGTATAATATGCATATTCACCTTTTTGCCTGTACTTTTTACTAAATTGTAACTCTAGATGTTTGTTAGACAGTGCTGTTAATTGTCTCTTTGTTTTGCTCAAGATTTTTATTGAAGGATGGTCAGCTGTGGCTCTGTGCCCCTCAGGCGAAGCAAATATGGAAGTGTTTAGCTGAAAATGCAGTTTATCTTTGTGATCGCGAAGCCTGTTTTAAATGGTATTCCAAACTAATGGGGGATGAACCAGACTTAGACCCTGACATTAATAAGGACTTCTTTGAAAATAATGTGCTTCAGCTGGATCCTTCCCTATTAACAGAAAATGGAATGAAATGTTTTGAACGTTTCTTCAAAGCTGTGAACTGTCGAGAAGGAAAGCTAGTAGCAAAGAGACGAGCCTATATGATGGATGATCTGGAATTAATAGGATTAGACTACCTTTGGAGGGTAAGTTAATTGGAGGAAACATCTGGAAGGTTAACTGCTAAGTCTTTCTCAGTCTCTTGTATTTTTAGGAATGTGTAATTTATTAGTTATAGACTGAAATTCTGAAAAGCTACTTTTTCAAATTAAACGGGTGGATGTTGACGCCACTGTCTTCCCAGCAAGTATGCAAGTTGTTAATGTTGCAGACAGACGTTTAATGGAAAGTTATTTGAAACATCAAGTATATTTGTGTATGCACATGAGAAGAAAAATTTGCCCATACTGTTGAAGAAGAAAGGATCATTCTGTGTGAATTGTCTGCAGGTTTCTCTGTCACACAGTAGAATTAAACTTTGTTTTGTGAACTTCATAACCAGTTCAAGTAATTCGTTCTAGTATGGTAAACTGGGGTGATTCTAGATTAGGCCAAGTGATCACTGGTCTGATTCTTTCTCTTATATCCACAGCCTTTTCCCGCAACATGGTTATAGCTTTTCAATAGGAATATTGTAGCTTGTCGAAGCTTGACAGATCTGTAGATGAAAAACGTCAGTAACTAATTTGATACTTAATTTTTTCAGAGTATTTCTACTTTTCAAGAGCTGGATTAGAACCCACAATTGCACACTGTGGCATGATTATCATGGTTGTGCTTTGTAAAACATGCCGTATATAAAGCCAACTGCCTTCAGTAATTTTGGTTGTGGCTGTTGAAGGGTTAGGTATTTTAATCATGGTGATAAAAGTTAAAACCAGAGTAGATCACAATTTTTATGTAAATAAGTTTTCACATAGTGTTTGTACAATGTGCCCACATAATGCTAGCGTGTTTTAGTTGTGGGAATTGACTTACTTGGATCTGCCCTGCCATTTGGCAACATGAGAGAACTCATGAAGCTTCAGCTCAGTATCCTGCAGGGTGTTGTCTGTAAGGGCTGGTTTCAGACCTGGTGGCTGAATTAATAATTAAATTAAAATTTATTTTATCAGGTTAGAAACAGAACTCATTTTCCTGTCACACTTCCAGCCACTTACAGATTTTTAAATACTTTAAAATTCTGTTTTTAAATCTTTCGTGATGTAGATTGTTCAAGCAGCTGAAAAAATAGTTGTCTTATTCTCTGAAACGAGTAAAAATTGAGACTTAATGTTTAGATGATTATGTGAACACTAGTTTTATTCTGTTGCTAACTCTGAACTCCTTTAAAGTAGTTAGTTCTTAATTTTGACTCTTATGTAGGTAGCGTTCAGAGTAAGTTGTATTATATTTTGTAGCTAAGAATTTTAGACACTTTCACCTCATAAATAATTAGACATACTATTGTGTCAAGATAATTATGTAGTTGTTCTGCTTTTAAATTTTATACCAGAAACTTTTAAGATGTTCTAATGCTTTTTTTTTTATTGTGCTAGGTTGTGATTCAGGGAAGTGATGACATCGCAAACAGAGCAATAGATCTTCTTAAAGAGATCTATACTAATCTTGGCCCAAGGTTACAAGTTAATCAGGTAAAAAACCCAAACAAACAACAAGAAAACTGGAATATAGATAGAAAAACAGTGATAAAATTCAGTTTGGTGATATTTTTATATTTGAAAGCTTTGAAAACAGAGAGTAGTTTTCATGTTTTGTAGAGTATACTTTTGAGTCCAACAACCAGGTTCTAGTCAGATGCAGAATTAAGAGGTGTTTTTTTGCAGACTGAACTCTGATAAATTTTTCATATTAAATTGATCTGTTATATTTACTCTTTCTACTCAGAAATTAGTTCATATAATATACTTAGATAAGCCTTTTGTTGAACTTCCAGTTGTGATACTTATTTGTACTACTGTGTTCACTGGATGGGTCTGTTGGGTGTTGTCACAAGCTAATCTAATCTTTTTTTATGTCACGTCCCTTACAAAGGGTCACAGAGTTTCCATATATAATGGTCAAGCTGAGCTCTAGCAGATCAGATATTTTCTCCCTACATTAATATTTGCTGGGAGCTGCGTTTCAGTGGACAGAGAGAAGAGATAATGAGTTTCTGAAAGGTCAGAAGAACTGCTGGGATTTGACAAATTTTGGGGGAATGTTGTCCTCCAGGCAATCTCCAATAGGTAGCTTGCCAGTTGTATTTCTTTTTTTGAAACTCCAGTTTTCATACTTGTCCTCAAAAACACTTTATATTAGAGTCTTCAGAGCTGCCAGGCTGCTAGATAAAGCACAGCTGCTCTAGGTGGTGCATTTACAGCTATTCAATCTGTATCTTACTGTAGTGGCAGGTGGGCTGTATGCTTCTTTCTTGCTCTAGGTCTGGGATTACTAAGCATGCATAAATCTGTCCATCTGCACATGGTTAGATCTGACACTTCCGAAAGTCTTGAGTTTAGTTAACGTGCACACAACTACTGATATGTCAGTCTAGGTCGGGAGCAAGGAGATGGTAGATATCAGGCAGAAGGAACAGATTTGTTGCAGCTGCCACTATATGGAATCTAGCTTAAAATCAGTTTCTGAGTTTATGCAGGAAAATAATGTATCTGGAACTGGGTTGTGATTTTTGGGAGGTGTCAGAGATAGTTGTTCTGGTGGTCTGTAAATGTGCTGTGTTCACTCTTAGTGTAAAGTAAATTAACTTGTGCTAGATTGTCAGATAAACATTCTTTAACATAGACTGAGGAAATGAATAAGAGACAGTCCGATTTGGTGTTCTCTGTGCAGACTTTCACTTTTTCTGTTTAAGTGCAACTTTGCAATGTGCAGTTACAGCTTCTGATGACATGCAAGATTTTTGGAGCACACACTAAATTAGAGCTGTTTATCAATGAGAGTTTATTCTAAAGTGGAATAAAACAGCTTTATAGAGTAACTTACCTGATTGGGGGTTTTTTGTTGTTGTTTTTTAACTTCTACCGTGGGATTATTCTGCTGAAAAGATGGTTTTTAATATTTCTTGTATTTGCACCAATTCTTTAATGTAATCAGGTAGTGATTCATGAAGACTTCATTCAGTCCTGTTTTGATCGTCTAAAAGCCTCCTATGATACATTGTGTGTGTTGGATGGAGATAAAGACAGTATCAATTGTGCAAGACAAGAAGCAATACGAATGGTGAGAGTGTTGACTGTTTTAAGAGAGTATATAAATGAATGTGACAGTGATTACCACGAAGAGAGGACTATTCTACCTATGTCAAGGTAGGTGTGAAAATGTACTCCTGTGATTGTGATTTCTGTTAACCAAAATATTAGTAATATCTTTGTGGTTTTTACCTTGTAAAAGGTTTCTATTCAGAGAATGTGTGTATAGAGTTTCAAAATTCCATTTTCTTTGACAATACGTGAAACTGATGTGTAATTAAAAAAATAATTTGAAAGATTGAGCAAATACAGACATACATGAAGAGGACAGCACACCTGAGAATAACTTGTTCATGGTATGTTGTTGTGCAATTGGTGCAGTGTAATCTAGTGTGGCTAGGTTGTTTTGGATGTATTTCTTTTTTTCAGGTAATTATTTAAAAGCAATACTATTCTCCAAGTTAGCAATGGCAAAGCTGCTTTGTTCTTCATGGTCCTGTCATATAACAAATATGTTGTTAATATATATCTTCATCTTCCAGAGTTGTTTACAGAGATTCTAGTCTTACTTTGGAAGTTTAAATTTAGCGTTACCTCCAACTGATATTTTCTGTATAAGTTCCTCATAAAAAGGGCGAGAAGAGAACAGCACTTTGAAATATATTTATTTTCTGTATACCTTCCTTCTTCTTATACTTGTGCTTGAGTGAAAACTTAGCTTAAATCCTAGCTGCTCCTTCTTTAACTCTGTCTTTGGTACAAAGAAAAAGGAAACACTTAAATCCAATGTTGTGTGGATGTGTTCACAAAGAAAATACTTTTTATTTCCTGAAAGAGGAAAGCAAAACAGAAAACTGTTTAAATGTTCTTGTGTTAGTAGCTGCTTTCTGTGGGAAGAAAGTCTCAAAAATACATAAAGAATACACTGAGTTTGCTATGGATTTGTAATGCAGCTAACATATTTTTAGACATGGTGAGGGTTTGTTGTCCCCGTATTTTAAGTAGCCTTTTTGTCAAGAAAATTGAAGAGTTTGCTGTTTGCTAGTGCTCCCACTGAATTTTTATTGTATATATTGATTGATTAGTCCTAAGTTCTCTTGTTGATTGCAGATGCATCTTTTTTTATATGGGCTGCTTATTTGATTAGACTAACTTTTTCACAGGTCTTGTCAGCAAGGAAATTTTATGAGAAATTTTTGCCTTCTTTTTTTGCTTGGGATTAGTTGGGCTTAACTGCGCACATCTTTCCTGATGAGTTCCCTGCCATTGTGTAAAGTGTGATCACTGCTACTGTGAAAATGCTGCTTCTTTTTTTGACCTCTGAACTTTTTAAAAGCATTTTGATTTTTTTAAATTGGAATTCTAATACAAATTTTAAACAGCTTTTGACAGAAGGCATTAAGACTTGGTGACCTGATAATTTTTTCTGATCTTGGAATATTTAAAATGGAGTTGCCAGTCTGATTGAGCTTTATTTGCAGATTTTGATCAGAAAATTACAAGCAAGAGAAAAAAATCTAAAACTTCATAAGAGACTTCTAAAAATTCTGTCAGTGTTCCAAACCTGACTGTAAAGTCGACAGTGTGTTTAATGCACTTGTGGAGAGTGTGGTTTCTTGAAACTTTCTGTGTATGTTATGTTTGCATGAAGCTTTAAAAAAATAATCTCATGCTGGAGTTTGTCACCATCCAATCACCAAGATTTGATGTTGAAATATCTATAACACAAAATACAGCAGCAGGAGAAAGAATTTATTTCGTGAGGCCAAAAATAACTTTATCTGTCTTGTTTATTTTCAGAGCTTTCCGTGGTAAACATATCACACTGGTAGTTCGTTTTCCAAACCAAGGCCGACAGGTGGAAGATTTGGATATTTGGTCTCATACAAACGACACAATTGGCCAAGTCCGGCGTTGTATTCTCAATCGTATAAAAGCCAATAGTGCGCACACAAAAGTAGAACTGTTCATTGGTGGTGAACTGGTGGACCCTGCAGATGACAGAAAATTAATTGGGCAGTTGAATCTCAAAGATAAAACGGTAAGTGTTGCAGGTTGATTATTTATACCAATTCAGATGTTGCTTCCCTTTTGTAAATTCTTGAAAAATAACATGCATGGGATTGCTGATTCTTGTGAAATAGTTCCATTCCTCTTTGTATTATGCCATTAACATTGTATCAGATGTTTATTTAGTAAAGAATTGTTTTTGCATAGTATTAAAACTATGATTGTGTTTTCCAGCTAATTACGGCTAAGCTTACACAGATAAATTCTAATATGCCCTCAAGTCCAGACAGTTCTTCTGACTCTTCAACTGGTTCTCCGGGCAACCATGGCAATCACTACAGCGATGGTCCAAATCCAGAAGTTGAAAGCTGTTTGCCTGGAGTGGTAAGCATATACTTAGATTCTGAAATGAACAGTTTAAATGCGTTTTTTCTGTATACTTTGTCTTTAACAATTTTTATGGGGTTTTCTGTTTGCTTATTTTAAGATCATGTCGCTGCATCCTCGATACATCTCTTTTCTTTGGCAAGTTGCAGACTTGGGTAGTAGCCTAAATATGCCACCTCTTAGAGATGGAGCACGTGTTCTTATGAAGCTCATGCCACCAGGTGAAACCTGATTTTATCGTATTTTGTCTTGTGATATCTTGTATAATAATTTCTCAGCTGTTATATAAAAATGACAGTAGGAGAGTATTTTCCAATTTCTGGTAATTTATTGATACTGTAATTAATGTATGTATTTCCCAAATATTTATGTCTTGTCTGTCCTATAAAGTTACATAGTTTGCAGTTGGTACCAGGATTCAGTGCCACAGTGCAGTGCAGTGAAAATGGGGAGAAGCATTGTAATATTCAAGTGGTTTTGTAGTGCTACTTTAATAGAACCACTTCTGTACTGACAGAAATAATCATTGCAGAACACTTCATAGTCTGATCTTGTCTGTCATTTACATTTTTTGCAACTTTTCTGATACACTTCAAATTTTTCACATTTATAGTTGTAAATACTGCTGTTTTTTTCTGGAGTAGTAGTGTTATAAAATGTTTAAGTTGGTTTTTTTATTGCAGATAACACTACAGTTGAGAAACTGAGAGCTATTTGTTTAGATCATGCAAAGCTCGGGGAAAGCAGCCTTAGTCCATCCCTTGATTCTCTGTTCTTTGGTCCTTCTGCCTCACAAGTGCTGTACCTAACTGAGGTTTGTGATACTTTCCCTGTTCTTTAAAAATCTTCGGCAATCCCTTCTGTAACATTGTGGAAGCCCAAGATCAAATTCTGGTCTGAAATTGACAATTAAAAACACTTTACAATTTACTGAAATAAGCTAAGGTATGCCCAGTGCTATCGCAGCACTGCTTAAGTAGTATTCCAACATAGTCTCATATTAAATTATCTATATTCAAGCTGGTGCATTTCTGTTGGTTAACTCTCTATTTTGTTCTACAGGTAGTTTATGCCTTGTTAATGCCTGCCAGTGCACCTCTGGGAGAAGATGCCAGTGACTTCCAGTACAACTTCTTAAAAAGTGGTGGTTTGCCTCTGGTATTGAGCGTGCTGACTAGAAATAACTTCCTGCCAAATGCAGATATGGAAACTCGAAGGGGTGCCTACCTTAATGCTCTAAAAATAGCCAAATTATTGCTAACAGCAATTGGATATGGCCATGTTCGAGCTGTGGCAGAAGCTTGTCAGCCAGTTGTGGAAGGCACAAGTACAATTTCACCGGTAATATAAATCTTCCTTGTTGCAAATACCAGTGTACTCTGGTTTTTATTTTGTCTGCAGCAATATCTATTGACTCTCTATTGATGATCTCTTTGAGTTAGTCACATGTAGTTGCATGTCAAGAACTCATGGTACTTTCATATAATGTTGCCTGATGATTCTAAAGAGATGGACTTAGTAAACAAATCCTGTTTCTTTCTGACTGTAGAAAAGTTAGGTGTGAGATCCACGTGCTCGATAAAAAATTTTCAGTGGTTTGCATGATTGTCAGTACAGATAACTTTCCATTTTCAAGCGCACCTGTTCTATAAATGCGGGTTCTGATTCTTTGGAGCTGTTGAGTCTGTTGAAGGATGTGCCTCTGAGTTTCTTGTATCTCCTGTTTATGGTTAGAGAGTAAAACAACAGAACTGATGTTGAGTCATGCCAGCCCTTTTTCTACACAAAACTAAGTCCTTGGCTTGCTACATTCCTGATTCTGTCCATTGCATGTAGAAAATTCTTGCAGAGAAAACCAAGTACATTGCCAAATTAAGTGTTGCTAATTGAAAGGTGCACTAACCTAAGATTTCTCAGAGCTGGAAAGGGAAGGTGTAGCACAGGTGTCTGAACTGTCTATGGTAGTAGATTTTGTGCACGTTTAATATGGCTAATTAGTTTTTCTACATCTGGACAAATACGTTGTTGGTCAAGATTTTTTTTTATGCCCTTTTACAGTAGGCATACAGCATAGAGCCCCAAAATTAAAATTTGCTGCTGTCCTTGGGCATTTGTTTCCAGGTATTCCAGCTACTTTTTTTGTTTCTTTTGTGAAGTTCCATCCCGAATAGTTGCTTGAGCTATCAGCCTATACTCAAGAATACATAGAGCGCCCCACTTCAGAGCACTTTCTTCCAGAATATTTACTGAGTTCCATCTCTGGAGCAGAGAAGTACGTTCCCCTTAAGTCTGAAAAATAAATATCTGTTCTGATTAGCTCTATCTGTTGGAAGATACCAGATTCATTCTTTTTCAAAGAAATCAAAACTCTTGATGATTCCAAAGAGGTGAAGATCTCTTTTCATGTGTCATGTTAGAATATCATGGAAACATCTTAAAGCAAATGTTTGCCACCCTATCCTCCTTCTATTTAAAATGAGTAAATTTTACTGCCCTATTTTCTAATGACGATTATGCAAAAAACATTTTGGAACACAAATAACATTAGTTGAGTCTTAAAGTATTGTTTGAAATGACAGTCTTTAACTACTGTTTGAAACAGATTTATGCTGACCACTATGGACATAGTAAGATTTGTCCATTCACTGTTAAGTGTTACAGACATCTAATTTTATTATTAGCTAATTTGTTAACTAATTACTAAATTACTAACTAATTTGAAAAAACATGGTTATTCTTGCTGTCATCATCATCCTGTTTGAAGAACTTGGTCTTGATACTTCTTATTGCTGCAGTGCCAGTAAGCTTACACCTTGGGGTGGAGGTGGGGTTTGTAAATACCTTTCATCTGTCATATCTAAAGCATAAGTAGTATAGCATAACTTTCTGTCTTTGCTTAAGAGAACGAGGTAACCTAGACTGTGTGTCTGCAGTCTTCTAGTTACTGGGTCTGCTGCTGTCAGTAGGACCTTTTAAATTTTTATTTTCTTCCTTGCTTTCATAGAAAAGTGAATCAATAATATTGTTAAACATAGTATTCTGGTGCAGATAGTGTATTCTGGTATAGATCATTATTTGCCCCCATATGTGTTGTTTGATCCTTTTACAGCCTGCTTCTGATAGCTAATTGACTGGGTAAACTCTTATTACAGTCTTCAGGGGGGAGTGCTGTAATTTTGCTTCCTGAATTAAGTGTCTTACTGAACCTGACAAAGCAGAGGGATACAACGAGTGCCAGGCGTTACAGACCAACTTCACAGTGTGTCTGAGCATTTGAGAAAGTTTTTTTGGATGAAATAGTACTAGAAAATTAAGAAACTCTTTTGTACAAGAAGCTTTAACTTCTGGCAACAGCACACAATCTTTTCAAGCAAGTTTTGTCTACGAGAAGGAAACAACCATTTCAGCTTTGAACTGTCAAAAACTATGGAGCTGTTGTCAGCCCAAGGAGAAGGAACTCTATGCTCAAACCAATACAGAAAAGACAAAAACTTGTCTTGCTACTGTTTGTGTTGTGGAAGTATGATAGAGAACAGGAGGGACAATCCAGACCAGAATTCTTCAGTAGTGTCCAACTCAAATGTTTAAAATGTTCTTAACTGTAATGAACACTGCAACCGTGTTCTGTCTGGACCCTATTAGCTAATCCAGAGGGAGACCCATTGTTTTAGCAAACCCTTTGTTTTGTGCATCAGCAGAAAGGGAAGGAGGCACTGTAATTCTAAGCATTCTGTTGACTTGAAATACTCTGATCGATAAACTCCCAAACAAGTTGTTTTGAGCAGGTGCCTCTTCTCTTAACTACTTGTACTCGGTGATCATGCACTGCAGTATAGTGTCTTCAGATGTGATGGTATCTGTTTGATAATGAGGGGGCTTATTTTTCTTGGTGTTTGCAGTTTCTGTAAGTAGCTTTCCTTCCGAGATCTTCTCTACTTCTGCTAAACCTTTCCAAGTAACTTTATATTTTCATATTTTCTTGCTTTCTTTTTTCCATGTAAAAATAAGAAATACTTTCTTCCAGATAAACCAGGCTACACATGACCAGGCAGTGGTGCTACAAAATGCCCTACAAAACATTCCTAATCCAACTTCAGAATGCATGCTAAGAAATGTAGCGATACGTCTTGCTCAGCAAATATCTGATGAGGTTAGTTAATTCCTATCTACATTACTTTTTTTCCCTGTAGTATCTTTTTTTTTAATACTTTTTTTTTAAAATCCTTATTTTTATTGCTTTGTAAGATGTGGGTTTTCCTTCTAAACTGTCACAGAACATTTTAGGTAGTGTTCGTGTGGTTCATAAGCTGTTAACTAATTAAAAGTATTTAATGAATTTTTTCCATATGCAATTATGAAATTCAGTGTCTAATAGCATGAAGAGGCTCAACTGAACTCGGCGGGTTCTGTACAAGTTATTTAGTGGATTGTGAATACTGTTATACTTAGATCAGAACTTCAGAAACTTGATGTGATAGATTTAAAGAAGTTAATGGGTATTTTGAAAACATTTTTGTGATACTTCTTTTTTTGGTCTTTTGTGGTTTGGTTTCTGAGTAACATTCTCTTCTTGAAGAGAAACACAGACAAGGAGGGGGAGTATAATATTGAGGATGACTTTTAAATGCTGAAAGATAAGAGTCTCAAATTGTGGACAGTGTATCTTTATATATAGAAAATACATTAATGATATGAGTGAAAAATTGTATTGTGGAGCTCAGTAGGGTTAAACAATGTACTTTGCAAAAGACTGTTGTGTTATCTGTATGGTACTGTATGCTATGACCAAACCCCCTTTGGATTTGGAATTATGAGTCCTGTTAGTGAATTCTGCTGAATTCAGCAGAAGCTAAAATTGGAACTGCTGCAACTTCTTCCAGAGTGAATCAGGATCTCTCAGTTTCTAGTGTGGAAGTGGTGAAAGTTGTTTTTCTGTGCTGTATAGAAACTTGCAAAGGTATCTCCAAAACAGTTCTGAGCTGTCTAAGTAAAAGTAGTCTTATGTTATCATCTTAATGTTGAAAAGTACGCTATTCCTTATGAACAAAGAGCAGTGTCTAAAGAAAGCACAATGTACTAGACTGTGAGGCTGAACCATCTGCCTTCCATTACTGGTGGTATGTGTAAAATCAGCCAGTTGAACTCTTGATTTCATTAACTTCCTTCCACAGAAGAACTGTCTTTTGAGGTGAGGTATGAAGAAAGTTTTTCTTTAATTGTGCCTTTGTCCTTTTTGGAGGACTTGGAATAAATAACTAAATAATTTTCATTTCAGGTACATTAAAGCAAACAAAATCTCTTTTACGAGACTTTACACAGTATTGCTGTTAAAGTATTGTCTGTAATATTCTGAAATTATGAAGACTGCTGTAGATCTATATTTCATATGTGTTGTAGCTTGCTGTTGAAAGACTTTATTTTGATGTTTTGATGGTGAAAGACTTTCTCAACGGACTTCACAATCGTTAAAAAATAAATCTGATGTGGTTTCCATAGGCCAGACAGAAGAATACAGCATGGAAAGATGTTTCACCTTTTAAGAAAATTTTGGTGCTTCAAGACCTTAAAACTGCAATGAGAATAAAAAAGAAAATGTTCTTTTTCTGTGTGACAGATTTTTCTTGTGATGCTGTTGCTGTTATGTTTCTTTGCATATGATGTATTTAACCTTTGAGAAAAGGATGCACATTTTCAGGTTTCCTGATGCAGCTAGATTATTACTTGAGCTTCTTAGAGTCTTTTTTTATTAAGTCTGAGCATGAGAAAAATTAATTCTGAAATTCATCCAACATCTGCTTTAAAAGATTGCCTGGGTTTTTGGACAGTTCTGCTTTGATTATAAACTCCAGATAGGTTCAGGTTGTTTTTGAAGGTTCATATGACAAGTGCCATTATTTATAGTTCGTATGTTCTGTAATGTTCGTACATCGGTAGGAACTATTGGATGTTAAGTCTGACCGTGATGAAAATACTGAAGAGTGAGTCTGCATTCATAAGATACATGATCTGTGTTCTTATTAATTTTAAACCCTGTATAACTTGAATATAGAAAAATCCCTTTGTATATTAATCACATAGTTGCTAAATGTTAGTTTGTCTAGCTATCAGCTTGTACAGTAAATATCATGGGAGGGGGACAAACTCTAAAATTAGTTCAACCTGTTACATTATTTAAGAGGCTAGCTGCCTTCCAGATGCATGCTTTGTGGTTTGTTGGTTTTTTTCCCCCAAAACAATCATGTTTTTGCATTGAAGTTGATAGTTTCTGCTAGATCTTACTTGGAATCAAAGAGTTGCTGGTTATTAAAAAAATACTCACTTTCTTGTAATTCCTGGTACTTGTAGCATTACAATTTAAGATACTGTAATATATCTAAAATACATGCTACTTTCTGTTAAAAAAGTAAATATTCCTTAAGTGGAGTACGAATGCTTTTCAAGATACATTACATTTTTTTCTCTATTTAAGGACAAATTCTGTGTTAAATTTTAATTTTTGAATTTTAAACTTTCTGTAAATACATTTGTGATAATTTTGAATCCTTCGTAATGTTAGTTGCAACTGTATTTTAATGTTCTTTGTTTTATTTCTCTTTCTTAGGCTTCAAAATACATCCCTGATATCTGTGTTATTAGAGCAGTACAAAAAATTGTTTGGGCATCAGGTTGTGGGTCAGTTCAGCTGGTTTTCAGCTCGAATGAGGAAATTAGTAAAATCTATGAAAAGGTAAGAATTCCTAAGCAACTTTTCTATATAACTGTTCCTTTGTTTACAAAAGGGACAGTGTCAAGCAAGTCAGGCTTAGAGTGTGATGAGCTTTTAGGTAGCTGTCTTGATGATGTGTTTTGGAGTCCAGTATGATACGTCATATGTCATATCACAATTTAATTTTCTATTCAAAATTCCTTTTATCAATAACCGTTTAATTGTAAATTGAATCTGATGTTCAAAAACACACCAGTTCTGTAAGCTGCCATAATATGTTTTCAGCCCAGTCAGATTTCATGTCTAAATAAGAAGTAAGCACTTCTTTGCAATGCTAATTTTTGTAGTCTTCAAATTTGAAAAGGTCTGTTCTACAGAAGTTGATTTAAAGCATGTGTGCAGTGTAGAATGAGAAACAAGATAACTGATCTGAAATTAGCCCTGAAGCACTGGTAAAATGAAATAATTGCTAATTCTGTGTGGCTTCTTTCCTTTTATTATGTAGATATGTAGACCATCATGGTTTCACATGTGGCTTATGCAAATACTTTGTAGTTCTACATTAGTATGTTATCATGTACCTTGTGTTTAATTAATGTTGCTTACAGATATAGGAAACAGTGGTCTGTGTTTTGACAGTGATTTAAAAAAAAAAAAAAAGTTTTCTAAACATCTCCCCTTGTTTGCCTTATAAAATCAAGCTTAGTACTCATCAATATTTGCCTGAGAATAAAGGGGAAAGGAATATATAGGGGAGTTTTATGCTTGGTATACTAGTTGTTGTGCTTAAATGATCAATTAGAGGAAGAATATTTACTTCAGCAAAATGCAACACCTTTCCATTTAGCTTATATAGTGGTATAATGGCATCTGCTTCTATTGCTGTGAGAATGACTTCGTCATGAAACAGGTTGGGGATTTTTTGGTTGGGGACCTGATATAACTGAAAAGTGGTTTAATTGGTGTGTCAGTGCAGGAACATGAAGATGTGCTCTTATAGCTAGCTATACATTTGATGTTTTAGGAGGAGTAGTGCTGTAGAGAAAGTATGCCTAAAAGAAAATGTACCTAAATGTTCTTTTCTGATATTTTTATGGATGAAAATTGTACGGTTAAGTTCTGTAAAAATATTTTCAAACAATTGAAGTTCTAAAATATGTGAAATTTCAGCTGTGCATTATCGATCATCCTTCATAGAATCATTAAGGTTGGAAAAGACTTCAGTGATCATCAAGTCCAACCATGAACCCACACCACCTAACCCAGTAAACCATGTCTCTAAGCACCACATGTGCACATTTCTTGAACACCTGCCTGGATGGTGACTCCACCACTTCCCTGAGCAGCCTGTTCCAATGCCTGATCACTCTTTCAGTGAAAAACTTTTTCTAATATCTAGCCTAAACCTCCCCTGGTGCAACTTGAAGCCGTTTCCTCTTGTCCTATCACTTGCTACTACAGAGAAGAGGCCAGCACCCACCTCACTATACCCTCCTTTTAGGTAGTTGTGGAGAGTGATAAGGTCTCCTCTCAGCCTTCTCTTCTCTCGACTAAACAACCTCAGATCCCTCAGCTGCTCC